TTTTGTATCCGACAGCAAAAAAGAAAGCGATAAATCCTTATACAATCTGCTCAATGGAGGATTTTCCGCTTGTCATCCATTTTCCCTGAAGTGATCCCAGTCCTTTTTATTTCCCATGCCATCATCCCCCATCTCCCGTCTGTAGTTAATGGTATATTTGAGTGGGTAATATTTCGAAGATCTTTCCCGAGTTGTGGCATCCTGTACGGTGAATGATGCAATTCGCTCACTTCTCAGTGCCTGCTAATTCCCAAGCGTTTTAAGGGAAACGTTCGACAGAAGGGGGTCACTGGTAACCAACCTCGCGAAAGCGCTTCCCAAAAGCAATTCTTGTTCCCAAAGGCGTAAAGGTATTTGAGGCCTCTGAAACGACTTATACAGCCTAGTTCATCATCCAGTTCCAAAGCTAGTGGACAAGTTTGTAGATGATGAACTAGCAGTGCTAGAGAAGCAAGGAATCGTGGTAAAAATGATGTGAAGAAGGGAAAAGGGATGCAGGGGATTGTGACTGGTATATTTGAAGGTCTGCAAGCGACATTGGCCATGCTATGCTATGAAGAGCAAGCCCCAGTTGTCTCTTCCCCATCGAAAGGTTTTGGTACAAATCCCAGTGTCCGTCGGTCCTACACTACCTGCTCGAGTCATGTTGTCCTAGCGGCTTTTCCCATTCGGGTCAGGTGATGTGCGTTTGTCGCGCTCGGCTGCTCACAAATTCCGTTTGCGATGAAACCGCTGCGCAACCTTATTCTCTTTTGGTTGATCCAAACGGTTGATTAGGAAGTCGAAGTAGGAATCCGCAACAAGCCATCGGATAGCCATGGGTTTTCACAAGTAATTCCTTGACTTTGGAAAAGGTTGTGAATCGGCGGGGCAGGAATCCGAAACTGCTTTACGATAAGTTCGTAGAAATGGGCGACAAATCAAATGGTGGCGACGACCTCAAGTGACACGATTAGCCTTGTAGAGATCGTCGTTTTCTCAGTCGGGTAATTGCGTGCACCTATGAAAGAACTCGTATTGTATCCGTCCATTGCTGCTATGACGAATTAAAATCGCCCAGTCGTCGCTAAACAACAACAACAGCACGTCTGTAATTGGAAATATTACGACAGGGTATCAATTGACTCGGGAAGAAACTACCCCACGTGTGATCTACTGGGAAACTCCAACTAGGCCAATTAATCGCTTCTGTTCTTCGTAAGTGGTCGCTGTTGGACTTCCCTGAGACGATCCCCAGTGGGCTACCCCCAAGATATGCAACCAACTGTCTCCAACTCTCATGAAAGTCAGATTCGTGGCCTGTTCTGATGAGGTCGTCACAAAGTTACGTTCACGTTGCCCATTATGATCTCAATCTTTGGAATTGCCATTTTATTTCGGGGCCTCCCATCTCAATTCAACTATCCAGCCAGCCTTTTTTTCGCTTCAGCCTATTCTGTTTCTGAAGTGAAGTGACTTTTGAAGATAACACTTCACACTTAAGTCCTCTAAGCACTTAGATTTCTTAATCGCCCCGAAAATGGTCACCAAACCAGTTCCCTCATTAACGACGCTGTATATCGCCCTAATGTTTACCATAAGTGTGAGGCGCAAGAGAGAAAGCGCACTAAAACTTAGCCATATGCTAGGCATATGTGTGAAACTATGACTGTATAGGGTGGGGAATAGTTTGGTTGATAGATCGCCATTCCGATATATTCACATCTGCTAACGATTTGTTGCCCAAGAACTTTGACATGAGAACGAACTCACGACTTATTGGAGATAAGAAGACAATTCTGTTGTCATACTCTTTTCTTTTCAAAAACTGAGCCTGGGAGTATATCAGAGTTGGTGTCAGTTTGCTTAAAATTTATTTATTTCGCAGACGAAATAGCCTCCCGATGACTTTTGCCCCTCGATGCCTCCCAATGTTGTAACTGTAAGACGAATTTATTGCTTCAGTAATGCCTTTTCATGTATGTGAATACAGGGTGATCACATTAAGAGCTTTTTCTGAAATTATAGAACGATATAAATGGCCTAAGAATAGCAGTGCGTCTTTTAGTCAACCGGATTCTATTCACCTCTTCGTTTGATTTGATCGTTGTGCTTCCATACATATTAGTCATAGGTCCCAGGTCTACTGTAGAACATCCAGGGTAGAAGGGTGTTTCTCCGTTCGCGACAGCCTATTCTGGCATCAATGATGCAACACGTAGACACATCCTTCGCTCGTGCATTTTCTCGGTAGGTTGTCCGCAGCACCAGGTCTAAGCCGTTTATACTACCTGCCGTACTACATAAGTACTGCATAATGAACATAAAACAGCACGTAAACAACTAACCGTGGTGTGGTCAGGTACGTCGGTTAGACTCACTGTATTGACAGTTGAATGAGGGCTGTGATTCGAACTCCATTCCTTTGCCCTGACAATAAGTTCAACTAAGTGATGCCAAGCTTACATCAAAGGACGCCTGCGTATTATATTACTATCACTGTCTAGCTTTTGTTGAGGCATATGCAATCGCAAGTGCCAATCTGTTTTGAGGCTGGATTGGGTGAAGTCTTTTGGCATGATCTATTGAAGTTGAATTTTGAAATCCGCTTTGATTGTAGAAATAATGGCCAACGTCTATAATGGCAAAGCGTGAACCACTTGGACCCAACGAAACCCCCAAGTTGTGGGGACGAAAATTTGTTGACTCCTTATTATTCAAGGCTTACTACCTAATTCATGAGCCATATGTTTGATGAGCCCAATGGAAGTGATTTTCCAAACAGGAGATTATAACCTATAACAGGTGTTCAGTAGATTTTTTAAGCAAAATATTGAATCATTCGATTGTCCTCGCTGCTGCGTCGGAACTATAACCCATTTTCTTCTATTCATATCAAAAACGAATGTCGAAGCCTGAAACTAACTGGGAATTCGTTTGACCCGGGAATAATAAATCTGTACGGATCATCTCTGTCACAAAGCTCGAATCAATTTCGTAGACAAAAAAAAGGCTTTTGAACAGTTTGGAGAATGTGTCAAATGGCATCTGTCGCTCTGCTGGAATTCCGCCTTTCCATCTCGTTCCTCTATCTCTACCACGTGATCCATCAGCAAACAGTAGGGTTTTTTTGAAACTGCGAAGACAGTGAACTATTTTCCTGACATTATTCAAAGGTACGGAATACCGTGCTCGATCAGATATGTATTTTTAACTGATGATACTGTTAGCGATCTAAGTTAAAGTTGTAGGCCCAGAACTATTTTCTGGTGATACAGTAGTGAGCTGCAATCATTTTGATGTTGAATAAGTGGGAGAAAACGCAACAGAAAAACTAGAAGCAAAACATTACTGATCAAGCTGCGAGGATCTATTTTGTTCCTCACTAGATAGAACGAAGTAAAATTAACAACTGGGTAAAATGTAAACATATCGCAGCGTGAAGTGGCTACTGAATTACTGAAGTATGTGGGGCTACAAAGATGCCTCTAACCCATGCGTCTTCTGTGAATAAGGAAGGGGAAGCGCATTCGAGCGCATTCTAGCTAAGTTCGTAGTCCAAAACTAGACTACTGAAATGATGCTCACTTGTTATCAGTAGGCGCTAATGCGTTCCTTTTGACACGATTAGCATCCCTGGGTGTATCACAATGGCTAGAATAGCAATTATACAGATAATTGAACAGATTTAGAACGGCAGCGCTAAGCTGCCCCTATTATCATGTATACGAAGGTGTGTGGGCGCAATTTAATATGTGACCGATCTACGTAAACTTACGTGAATGACAAATGTTTCCGGGGTCGTTAGCCCTGAATCGGACGGAATATTATTGTTGCGTAACTGGTACACACCTAGTTATCGACACTACAACGAAAAAGTAACTCAACATGTTAGCTTCCTCCCGCTGTCCCTCTGCAGTACACCATACAGGTAGGTTTCCTCCAGAAGCCGATCTAAACGCCACGTTTGAAGGTTGGGAAAATGCCATGCCCTACCTTCTGCTTACTCAAATCTGTACCGTTTTTTGTAAAAATATCGACCAGTTCCAATCGAACAGGAAGATTCAGGGGAAGGTAGACCCAGCAGTCTCCAACTGTAGAGCGATATTCTGGGCCAGTGCTAGAGCCATTGCTGCACAAGGTTGCAGCTCTTATTTCTTCAGGAGTTTGTATCTCATAGCTTCGGAATCACTGTGAAAGACCAAACTAGGCCCTCCATGAGGTTCTACTACATAGCTTGCCAGTAGGAATGATCTAGAGATCACGCCATAGAAAGCTACTACAAAAACTTTTACTCTTTACTGTCCTCTGTTAGCTCATACAACTGGTCCCCAGTCGATGGAATCGCGAGTTATTCTGGGAATCGTCCTTCTATGCTTTCCCCGTTCTTCGGTTTTCCATTTTTGCTCATTACCCTGAGAAAAACCTGTCTGACAAATCATAAAAGGGAGCTAAGGATAGGTTCGGAGCACTTTCTGTTTTTTTGACTTGCTCGAGAAGAGACAGTTTCGAGGACTAGTTTTCTTCAACTCTGCCACCTAACATTACGTGGTGACCGTGACGACCTTTCTTCGCCTTTCATTCGCCTTCTCTCTGCGACGTTCCCCGTACCTCTAATTGATCTCGAAGAGCCGCTCGTCCTCATCTGTTATGCAGGTAATTGTCCGTTCGAAAGCCTCATCAGTCTTCTCTCGAGAAGACCTAGTGCAAAGTCGACGACGGGAAATTTGAGACCAATTAGCCACCTCAGATCGTTAGAAATTCTTTTGATGCTACCAAGTAATTGAGGAAATTCGGCAAGGTTGGTTGCTTTCGAATATAGCCATTAAAAAGTCTCGACCTTATTCTAGCGAAGGAAGGAAAGCAACTGCGAAAGGGCAGTAAAGTCAGAAAGTTGGTAGAAAAATGTTCCTCCTCGGGTGAGAGTGCTTAGAAGAAAAACAAGAAAGGAACTCATCGAGCAATGAAATGAAAAGTACCGGGTATTTTTGATGTTGATGGGAAAGGTTGGTTTTTAGAGAATGATGAGACCACCGATGTACATTCGTTTCGTGATGCCTAATGCGCCGTACCCTTATTCTTCACCCGAAGAAAAGCTTGGGAAAGTTAGTGACTTGAAAGTCTTCCTTGCTAGTTTGCTCTTTCCAGAAAATTCTTGGGAAAGCAAACGTTCAAGTCAATGTTTTTATACTCCCCGACATGTCAACCTTCCATAATTCCACCATTTTCCCAGTCTATTCAATGCGTTCCTTGCACAGCTAGGATATGATGCGCCCGTCATGTAGGCTGACAATTTCCCATATGTAACCAGCAGAGTCAGTTGAAATAGTGATTCAGGGAAAGGAAATCAAAGAAAGACAGTCATGAGCTCCAGAACTCCGACAGGTTCGGTCCCAGGTCAATTACGTAGGTGGTGCTCGAAACCCAATCAAGTGAGTCAATGGAGGGTTTCCTCGTAGGACGAACTATTCCGGCTTCCAACAATGACCAACTCCGTATGTTGTAGAGGATGTTTCCCCCGTCTCTCTACCGTATGAACCCATCGCTGACATTTGCTGAAAGCATTTGGTTCGGAAATGAATATTGCATCGTCGGTACAGTTAGCCCACAGGGCGGGGGGGCGAGAGCGAGTAATCGTGATCGGGTAATTTTCTGGTATAGTGCAAAGGGTACATACTGACTAAATAGTATGTATGCTTTCGACGTATGCCATTGGCTCTGAATTTCTCGAATAGCTGCAATTTTGACAGCTACTATAACGCAGAACAAGAAGGATCGGGTCATTGAGGGTTCCTTTATATCTTCAGCATGGAAGTAAGAATGAAGTTAGAAATAAATTTGTACTGTTAGTGAATGCTGCTGTTTCGAAACCCACCCAAGGACCTTTTCAAACAAACCACTACTTATCGACTACCTAGGTAGAAGTCACTTCTGTCTAGTTTATGATGACTCGTATTATGCATGAGGTCGAAAGTAGGAGGTGCTCTCTGAAGAGGTTTTTCGCTAGATCCTGATCGCGCTGCTTTCCAAACGACTCTAAATTCGGAGGTAGCTTGCGTTCCGGAAGCCCAGCTCTTTTCTTGGCTGAGTTCTTTTGTCAGTCGTACAAATGGCCTGTTGCGTTTTGGATACGTATGCAATTTTATGCACTTGACCGCCTCGAACTCGTTCCCGTGTGTGAAGATGTTTCTCTTCGTAGCCGGCCGGCTGGCTCATTCACAGTCCACCTTTTGCGATTCGGCATCACAATGACTCTTCAAGACAAGTTCTTCATCGTTTACGTTTATGTACTCCAAGGAGAATACATCGACGGCAAAAATCTAGCAGCCGTAGAGACGTCCAGGGATTGTGGCTAAGTGCCCATTCATTTCTATGCCTAGATGGTTCGGAGTTGGGGAGAATTGCTGTGCGCAGTCGGACACTGTCGGAAGTGATTCGAAGAGAAACCTCCATTAAACATGTCGATTACCATAACTTGATGAAATTTTGCGCGAACACGTGGACCCAGCGCTGATGAGCATTGGCGGCGTTAACGGCGAGAAAAGATCGGCACTGCTGTCTGGGTCAATGGCGAAGGGAGATTTCCGAACCTCTTGATGATGTTGCTCTAGAGGTCCATTTACAAGGTCGAGTTGCATTGCTCTACAAGATCGGCATGCTACCATAGGTAAACATAGCACAGTGTTTGGGAGATATTGTGAATTCGCAGAGCGAAGGGATTGAAAAAAAGAGATGCGGCAGAGGGGTCTGCAAGAAAGGATGAGAAAAACACTTTCATTTGCAATTGGTGAACTGTTTGGAACTGAAAGGAACTGGAAGGAAAAAAGTTGGAATCGATTGTTGCTTAAGCAGTTGAGTTGAAAAACGGAACCTCTAGTTTCTTTCCACAAGTCCGCTCACTAACTTTTTTTTCGGTAGGTCGCTCTTATTGTTTAGAAAAATTCTGTGTGGGAAGTATCTTAAGATTAAAAGTAGTACAAAATATGCCACACCAATGCAAGCTCACGTTGTGGTATATAAAAAGATTCGCACGGGTGCAGTTTGCTGGTGCATTCCTTGACTGGGTCATTAACGCTGACCCGCTTTGACGATCAAGTTGTTCATGTCAGGTTAGATTATTTGAGAAGATTGGTGGGCAAAGTAAGGTTTTTGGAACTGGTAGCAATGAGAGAGAAAAGTTTGCTGAATGCTGGAATCGATAGCGATTCCTTCGCCGCTTACTGATTACTTCATTACTTACTTCTACTGTGAGAATGTTTGAAGACTCCCAATATCTAAGCCTTGAGGCGGTTCAGAACACTTTCACCAGAAAAGCTTTGACTCGTGCGTTAGGGTTCAACTACAACAGCATACCTAAGGGGTCTGTTAGGAAGCAGATGTTGGGGCTTGAGTTTCTGCTCTGTAGAAGGGAGAAGCCTGATTGGTGACAGTTCACAAAATCATCACAGGCAAGTTGGCTTGAGTAGTAAGAGCTCGTTCATTCCTCTTCCGTTACACAGCAGAGGAGGTGGGTTTAAACTTTTCCTTCCTAAAAATAATACTGCGGTTCGGAGGAAATTTTTCTCGGCAAGGGCTTCTTTGGGATACAATAAGTTAATTAAAAAGTTTGCCATGCCTAGAAGCATCGTAGAATTGAAAAACAATATCAATAAGTTCTATGGTTAGCGGGTTGTTTTCAAAGAGCACACNTTTTTTTTTGTTGACTGTTTGTTATGTTCGTTATTAGATCTCTACCATCCCCCATGGTTTTTATCGGACTGGTTTCATGGTTTTTATCAGGCTCGTTTAATTTTATATTATTGAATTCATGTACGTAAGGTACATGTTCTAATAAATAAATAAATAAATCTAAGTCAATCATTATACCAACTCCGCTCTTCTCTGCTTTCCATGATTTTCAGAATTAGTTCCTTATCGATACTATTCGATGATTTGTATGCAACACTACCCGAATAGTTAAAAGTACGCCCTTGGGCCTTTGTTCAGAAAGGGATAATCTTATACAGTCATTATAGCCATGGGGGAGAAGTTTGGGCTCGCCTCCCATTCTTTTGCTCAGAGCATCCACCTCGTTGCTTAACTGTATCTACAGCAGCTTAACAAGCGTTTAGTTACCTTTTCAGATGAGAATGTCTCTGTAATTCACACCATCTTTTGTATGCTTCCTTCTTCTGTTTCACGATTGAATCTCCTTAACTCTGTTTGCACTCCATAGAATGTTAGGCTTAGCTAGGTTTTCTTGGATCTTCCGAGAAATCCTTGCTAACCGTTCTCACAATCAAGGTTCTTCTCTTCAGATCCCTTATATCAATTCGATGCAGCTTTCTTTCATAGGAGCCTTTTCTGTTGTAGGTTGTTGATTGTTGTAGCCTTCTCCTGTCCACGTAACCCTATGTTTCATCAACTGAAATTTTCTTAGCAACATTTATCTATAAATTGTACAACACATGTTCTATGAAACTTCTGTTTCCTGAGTTTCAGTGAAAGTATTGTCATCTATGAGCTTTCAGATTGATGGGCCAGATGGTTCACCTGGCGAGTCGTTTTCTCTCGTGTTTCAAGGCCAGAGAAGAGCGCGAGCAACGTTAGAAATCCAGGTGGTTGATGTGAATGACAATCCACCACAATTTGTCAATCCACCCGCAGTAATCAGCGTGTCAGAGGTTAGTCGAAAAATTCCCATTCAAAATGGGAGCGCACCCTAAAAATCAGACTACAATGGGGTAAGGGGCAAAATTATTGAAGAACTATTAAGGGTTTGTTACATTTGAGAATCTACGAAACGTCTGAAGAATTCACTACTTGTGACTATTGTCCTCTATGTTCTTTGTGTAATGTCTGGCTGGGCTTCTGAGAAGGTTCACTTTATCGCCGGCTAACGTTACAGCTTATCCGCCTGCTTCGGAGCATTAATTCAAAAGCATATTTGTAATTCAGTCATCACTTCTTCAGATCGCAGAAGAAAATCTTGAAGGACTGATAATGAAAAGTACATCTAAAACAAACTTACGAAATACAATGGGAAACTTACAGTGTAGGGTGAAAATGAAGAGCTCCAACTGCGGCCTGCCCCCCCCCCTCCCTT